GCGTGGTGCGCGCGGGCGCAGGGGCCGGAGGCCGCCGCAGCGGCGTCGCGCGGCGCCATCAGCAGGTCAGAGTCCGACAGGGCGCGCGCCGCGGCCGCGAGCGCCGCGAGCGCGCGGGCGGCAGGGTCGGCGGCCGCCGCGGCCGCGCAGCCCGCGTGCGCGAGCGGCGCGGGGGCGGGCACCTCAGGAAGCAAAGACGGGTCCTGCGATGCGCCCTCTGCCGCCGCTGACGTGCCTGCGGCGGCGGCTGGCAGCGCCTCCGTCGCTCGGGGGCTGCTGCTGCCGGGCCCGGCGCCGGCATGCGGGCCCTCCGGTGCTGCTGCAGCGGCTTCGAGCGATGCTGCTGCTCTCGCCGCATCAGCAGGCCCCGCCTCGTCCGCATCGGGCGACCCTGCTGCCGCCGCCAACGCCGCTCCTCCCTCTGGCGGCGCGCCGGGCGCCTGCGGCTGTCCTTGCTCGAGTGCGCCAACAGGCGCAGGGCTGGACAGCTCTTGCTCAGGGTCGGCCGAAGTCGCGTCAGCGGAGGCCGCCGGCTCCTCAGACGCTGCGGGCTCATCCGACGACTCCGCCGCCGCCGCCTCCACCGCCGCCGCGCGCCTGTTTGCCGCCGCCGCGATGGCCGCGAGGGCCGCCACGCGGCCCGCCGCGCCGCCGGCCTTCGCCTTGCCGCCCCGGCCGCGCCTGGCGCCGCGGCCGCCGCCACTGCCGCAGCGCGCCGTGGCCGCGGCGGGGGTGCTGCCTTCACGATCCCCGACCCCTCCCTCGTTGTCGCCGTCATCCCCAGGCATCCAAATCTCCTCGGTCAAGCCGCCGCCGCCACCACCGCCATCCCCGGGATCATCCAAGCAGAAAGCAGCCGCCCGCTGCCGCGCCTTGGCGGCCGCCGCACGCCGCAGCGCCTGCGTGCGCGCGAGCTCCAGACGCAGCGCCTCTCGCGCCAGGCGCGCGGTGTGGGCCTCCCCATGAAGGCGCCGCCGCTCTGCCGCGGCCGCGGCGCGGCGCTGCTCAGCCTCCTTGGTGGCTTTGCCTGGCTCCTGCTGCTGCTGCTGCTGCTGCTGCTGCTGCTGCTGCTGCTGCTGCTGCTGCTGCCGCTGCTGCTCGCAGAGGGGTAGGGTCAGCGCGGGCGCCGCCGCAGCCAGCGCGCCATGGGCCAGGCAGGCCAGCCGCCACATCTGGTCCCCAGGCTCGTGCCAGCGCCAGGGCGCCATGGCGCAGCGGGCGCCACGAACCGGCTGCTGCTGCTGCTGCTGCTGCTGCTGCTGTGGCTGCGGCTGCTCCTGCCGTATATGCTGGGACGGCTGCTGTTGGAGCGTCGAGCTGCACCAGAACTGCGCGGCAGTGAGGCAGGCCCTGACATCCGGGCCCTGGGAGTGGGAGGGGCACGATAGGCGTGTTGCTCAGGAAGAAAAACATTGTCGGCAGCCAGTGAACATGCGAGTGTAGAATTGCAGGGGCTTGGCCTTTGCGCAGCAACGGCCCCCGACTGGCACCGCAAGCATGAGCGGCGCCATTAAAAGACAGGGCGAGATCGCCCCATCAAAAGGGTGCGGCAGGCCCCCCTTTCCGCTCAGACGTGACACTAAGGGTTAAGAACTTGGACGGAAGGAATGTGTAAGACCGGCCCCAAACAGCACGCCCCACCTGTTCCTGCACGATGCCCCGCAGCATCTGCAGGCAGACGCCGCCGCCCGCCCCCTCCGCCGCACACACCAGCGCCAGCAGCCGCAGCAGCTCCCCCGCGCCCGGCGCCCGAAGCTCCACGCGCCGCAGCGCCAGCCCGTCCAGCGCGGGCGGCGGCGCGGGGGACGACAGGCACAGCAGGACGGGGCAGCGGGCCGCGCGGACGAGCGGAAGCAGAGCAGACAGGAAGCCGCGGTCATGGCTGAGTAGGACGTCCGCCTCGTCAAAGAGAATGACTGATCTGGCTCGCCGCGCCTGCTGCTGCGTCCCCGGCGCCTGCGCGTCCTGCTGCGTCCCAGGCGCCGGCGCCGGCGACGCGCCGGCCGGCGTGCCGGGGGCGCCGCCGTCCGCGGAGGCGAGCAGGCGCGCAGCCCAGGGGTTGGGGCGCGGGCCGGCCGCCGGCGGCGTCTGCGCCGCTGCGGGCTGCTTGACAGCCGCGCGCTTCTGGCGCCGCCGCGGCTGGAAATCCCCTCCGCTGCTGCTGCTCTCGCCCCCATCGCCGGCGCCGCCTCCGCCGCGCCGCGCCGCCGCGCGCCCATCGCCCCCTGCGAGCCGCTTGCGCCCGCCCTGCCCCGCGC